CGTGTAGTGGTGTTTATGTATGCAGGCGTTCGCTAGACCGGTTCCTTATGTGGACGCCGAGACGACTTCGTCTTGTGCTCACTTACAGGCAGGAGTATATATGACGATTTTATTATGTTAGCCGAGATTTGGATGATGTATATCTGACTGCGTAATCGCTTATTATGTTCTGACACCGAGTTTATGTTCTTTTTGCGTAATAAATATGACAACACTTAATGCAGATTGTATTCTTGGCAAAAGTATCCTTTAAAATATAACTTTAAATGTAAATACAGGTGAGCCGTGATAGCTGTGTCCGGGCGCTCGTTTTTATTCAATAACACTCGAGCAACCTGAGGTCAAATTCCGTTGCCAGCACCAATGAAATTGATAATTTGAAGTGGTGATATATACATGCTCAGCGGTGGAGAAAACATCGTGAGGAAATTTGCATATGCTTGCATTGCATAAACTTGTAGTTTTATAATTTTTTAAGTTTTGTATGTATCCATTGTGCTTAGACCGTGAATAAACGTTTCTTCTTCTTCTTCATATTTTCGAAATGATAACGAAAAAAAAAATTCGTAGATATTTGTAGTTTGCTAACACACAGTGGGATCGCGTGGTGGACCATGCTCTAATACCCTCTGTACAGTGGAGGTCTTTATTCAACAGTGTGATTTGTACAGGTTATTATTTTACTTTTACGTTTCAATAAAGATATTTAATATTTAAGTCTTGTTGCGGTTGTGATCGTCAAAATCGTCAAAATCTACCAACCTACCGTTTAAGCAGTTCAGATTTGCCCAAAGAAAAATCTACCATCGGTTAACCTCTTTCAACATTTCCAATTCTTGGAAACTGGGCAATTTTAAATATTTTTTTCCGCATTAGCCTAACATTAGCTAAGTAAGATTTTTGATAAGCCTTTTCAAAATTAAGGTGAATCTGATATAATAGAGAATTTGAGGCGAAAATTACTTGAACATGTCCGTGTGATATGTATGATAAATGAAGATTTTGAATCTTCGAAACTTTATTACCGAATCACGAAGTCGGGAGACAGAGCAACCTCAACGTCGTAGATTAATTAAAACTTTTCTACCACAACGTCCGTGCAGTAACTATGCTAATTATCAAAGTAAAACCGACTTTTTGTTGTTGATTCGTGGTTATTTCTGTTATGAAGTTAGTTGGGACGTATTATTATTTACGTTTTATTTTATACTTAATGATAGACACGGGTGCATTAGAAATAAAGTGAACAAAAAAGCTTGTACGCATGTTGTTGGTACAAAATGTATTGAATGCCAATGGTAAATAATAAAAGTTACCTCTAGAATGTAAACATTTTTTAATACAGTTGCTCAAAAATTGGCGTATTGCAGGGACGTATAGCGTGCGTTCTCTTTCCCAACTGTCGAAATAATGTTATTTATTGTGTTTTTATTATTCTATTAAATTGCTTCATTTTTTCGCAACTGTATTAAAAATAGTTTTCCAGTACACGTGCGGAACTATCATTGCCACTTGTTCCGACTGTCAATCTGATTTGTCGGAATTCTTTGCTAGCTCTCCGCACTGGTAATGAAATAAACTATATTATGCCTGTGTGCACAGAGCTCTGGTGATAATTGTCAGTTATAGATAAACTTCTTAGTCGTTCCCTCACTGATGAGGGTCGTGACTCATATCGTGTAAACAGACTGTACAGACACTGATCATGTTCTAGTTTAATCTGCTTTAAGATGGAAAAGTTTGAGCGACGGGCCGTCCATACCTTGTCCATGGTATTGATTGCTTTCATAACTTTATATGCAACACGGGGATTCGGTGTCGTTTTAAAGTTTCTCTTTTACAAGCTTGTTAAGATCAAGTGATTATCGTAAATGCCTGACCTAGTGTCTAGATAGCTATTTAGCCCGAAGTGTCGTCACGAGTTCCGGTATATAGGTCCAGGTTCGCGCCACGTTCGGATGCCGTGGGAAAGCGGATCCGGACCCGCGGTTAGAGCTCTTTATTTATTGACCCCCCTCTTTACTGTCCTTTAACATGTTATAGTGATACTTAAACTTTAGCTACTTTGAACTTTAAACTTTTTTATTTTATTTTAAGTGCTTCACTATCACGTGTTCACGCGATAAAAGAAAACATCTTGAGAAAACCTGTATATTTTGGAGTTTTCGAACAAAAAGAAATATTTTGAAGATGCGAAGTTTGCAAATGCGCAGCGGTGCCGTGTGGTGGACTATTCCCTAATGACTTTCGTACAGAAGAGCTCTTTGCCCCGCAGTGGGACTAGTACAGGATGTTACTTTACTCTTTACTAGTATTTGTAGTTTACGTCGTTTTACGACACAACTAAATTTTATTTGTATTGTGAGCCTTGACAAAGACCGAAATGTTATATTAATGACAACAAATTTAACGAAATATATTTTAATCAAATTAAAAAAATTGTTAAATAATCCAACAAATAATGTAACCGTTAACGTCATTGACACATCGTTATTGTGGCAATGCTAGCACACCTTATCGGCCAACCTGTATCAAGGCAAAAGACGTTCGCGAGTAAACAACGATGTATCCATACTTAATATTATAAATGCGAAAGTAACTCTGTCTGTCTGTCTCGCTTTCACACCAAAACTACTGAACCGATTTAAATGAAATTTGGTACACAGATAGTCCAGAGCCTGAGAAAGGACATAGGCTATTTTTTTATTGGAAAAAGGCTTATAAAGGGTTCTTAAAGGGGATAGATATTTATTTAAGGACTTCAACGCGAGTGAAACCGCGGGCGAAAAGCTAGTACGTAAATATGTGTGAAATCAAGTTGGCGCGGGTTCAGAGCACTGGCGCCGTTTCATTTGGTGCCAAGTGTAATATTTTTAGGCGCACTGTATGACATAGGCGTAGTCGGCGGATGGAATCACCGAATGCGTCCCCCGCGCGATAGCGTGAGATTTATTATTATCCACTAAGCTTACACATCGCCGCTGTTTATTTAGTAGGAGTACTTTGCGTGAGTGCTTATGTTTTACCAGTATAAAACACAAATTCATCCATTAATCGCAACTTGTGAGATTTCATAAATACGTAATAATAGTTTTAAAATTAAAATAAAAACACGCTCTAATTGCAAACTGAGCTAAAAATAAATATTTAAATTTAAGTTGATTAACGATAAAATCAATATCATTGTAAAAAGCGTGCAAAAATCAATTAATAGTACAGTACATTCTTACATTAACACCATCTTACGGCTTAAGAACGAAGTCCTAAATGAGTTTTACTTTGTTTTTTAGACTGAAGTCACTGTTGGCTATTTTAACTGTGGGAGAGCAGGTCCTTCCGGGAAAAACTACGACCTTATAGAAGACCGGCCTGAAGTGGTAGTATAATACTTTCGCGTTTCGTCTGGTGAGTGAGGTAGCCGGGGCCCACTTTTTCAAAGCTTGTCGACGCATCTACTAAACCTCGCGTGTAGCAGATGTAGGTGGCGGTATTCACATTACATCAGGTGAACTGCCTGCAAAGCACGCTTGGTAACGTTCTCACATAAAAAAATTGTGATTATTATTACATTACTCCAAATATTAATTGTATGCGTTTAAAATGCAAACGTTCGAATTAATGAATAAAACCTACATTTTTAGTAAAACCGTCTCTCATATTTGTATTAATCTTATTCGAACAGCGGACGGTGATGTGCGAATCGTCACTCGACCTCGCCGAAGGCCGAGCCCGACTGTTATTGATTTTTTATGCGCATTGTCAGTCCCGTTTGTCCCAGTGACGCCCGCCCCTTGTAGCGCCTTCACCGCCGGCCGTTGGTGTGACAATTTTAATGATACGCTCGCTAAATCGCTTTAAAATCACACAATGAGATTTTTTGTATAGTAGGATAGTTTAGTGTTCCTATGCAAAGTTCAGTAAGACCTAATTATACTAGCCTGCTTGAAGATCATTTTTTAATTGGTTGACCTTATGACGAGCGATTACCGCCTTCCATTGACGCCTGCAACACTTGATAACGGGTTGCAGATGCGTGGCCAACATTAAAAAAGTAACGGGTAACTAACTGAATAGGCGAAAGGCAAAATAATATAATACATACTAGGCTGTGGTGTTTTTTCTGACTAGCTTACTTATTCGTGCAAAAGAAGACGCTGCTACGTGTCTCCCACCATAGTAAAAATAAAAATGATAAAAAAAATGAAAATAAAAATAATAAAAGAATGCCGGTTAGGGTTAATCAAAAGGCCTGATTTCGGCTTTTCGTTTGTTTACCTACTAAAGCCGAAGTGGTGGACAAGTATAAGTTATGTTTCATGTTTAATGTGGTCGATCAGTCAATATTGACCTTGTTTATCGAATCCATATGATAATAGTAAACAGCTCTTAAGTAGCTCGGTGCGCAAGTAATGATAGCGAAAGTCTAAGCGGCATGATTAAAAAAACACTACTTTACAGCCCATACGTACATTAAACATTGCTCATCGTTTTTTTTACTTCAAGGTTTCATTTCTAGGATATTTAAATCATTTTGTTCTATATATCTATATGTATTGTATGTTTTTATTTTTATATAATAAACGCCTTTATTTCTCTGCAACCAACGTTGTGTTTAAAGATGTACCGTCAAGACTATCTTCAGTTTAGTTTTCGCTATTATCGTCATTATGGAAAAAAGAAATCTTTTCAAAAGAATTGCTTGTGAATTGTGATATTATTATTCGTGTCTTTAAATCACAGCACTGAGCAGATTCTTTCAGGTAATGCATTTAATAATTGTACCCTCAGTAGGGTTACTTTAGAAATTATTAACATTTTTTACAATTTATATTTGAGTGATTGTGATTTTAATAGCAATCGAAATCGCTACGCCTTTATAATAAAAATGCAGTGTCTCTTTCTAAGACTCGCCAGAAGGAATCTCGTTTAGCTCTTATTTTGCTCTCGAGACCTGTTCGGAGTCGTTCTTGTAAGGTTCTTCTCTCTCATGGTAACCTGTAATGCTCGAGCAATTTGACAACGGCACTTTTGATGTTCAAGTGTGCCTTTTTGGCCGAATTATCAATATTGGAGATACGGAGAGGTATCCTATGGTGGGCTTTGTTATCATTGAGATTTTGGACTTTTCAAAATGTTTTTTTTTAATATAAGGCGACTTAAGTAACGTTACGAAATTGTTTGTTTCAGATTTCCCCCGGGGTGAATAAACGCCGCTTGGACTGAACGGTAAGATTACGTTCTTGATTAAAATGTCATTTTTGTATTTATAGAAACCACGTGCGTATTTCTTAACGTTTCTTTGAATACATTACAGGTTTTTTTTTTATTTTGATGTTTGTGATGCGTTAGAAGCCATTTGTGATAATTTAAAAAAATACTTTGACGTCGTATCTGGTATTTGAATGTCGTCGAGCCTTAAGATATTTCTTATCGTAAAGATATCGTACACTACAGGTATGCGTAGCGCATTGTATAAAGATGGCGGTGTCCTTTCGCGTTCCGCCGGAATGCTCGGGTCGTTGAGGCCCGCTATATAGAGGCACCTACCTAGCTGTTGCGGCGAGCCGACGATCCGTCTTTGTTCGCACGAGTTATGCCCGCGCGTCCGAGCACGCCGCTAAATGGGCCCCCACGAAGAAGTAAATCACAGAGCGACACATAGGAACCCGAACTAAGAACTCAACCCGAATGTACAATTAGAATTAAATCGTTTTGATTTTAAAGATCTTATACTACTACTAGTCTACCTACTAAGAGCCGTGATAGCTCAGTGTCCGGGCGCTCGCCTTTAATTCAATATACTCTAGCAACTTGAGTTCGATCCCCGGTGCCGGCACCAATGAAGTTTTTTAACTTTAAGTGCTGATTTATCACGTGCTCCGCGGTGAAGGAAAACATCGTGAGGAAACCTGCATATTTTCGAAATAATAACAAAAAAAATATATATTTCGAAGATATGTTAGGTCCGCAGTGGGGCCGCGTGGTGGACTATGCCCTGACTATACCCTCTGTATAGAGGAGGCCTTTGCTGTTACTTTATACTACTACTAGTGCGATTAGTGCAGTGGACACGCTGTCGGAATGAGAGTGGAAAATATGTCAATTAGGAACAGTATTTCACTAAAAACACCAAAAGATTTCTCGTTGTACGCACAGCGTTCATTTCCCGATAGTAACACTCATTGTCGAAATTATCGACAACCTGGGCAATGAAGGAATTTCTACGTACCTGCATAATCGAATCGTCTTGCAAATTATTTTAATAACTACCGCACGGGGTTAAAGCCCAAAATGCGTACGACATAAACGCTCAGATCGCGCGCCGGTGGGTCATAACGCCGCAGCTGAAATTACACCGGACACACGCGATCATTAAACGTGTATATCTGTTAATAATAATTGCGATTGTCCGCTCGTACGTGCGCGGGGGAGTTATGGCGCAGTTGCCGGGCGAAGCTCCTCCCCCTCCTACTCCGATACTGCCCCCCCCCCCCCCCCCCCCCCAAGCCTCTCGGTTGCTCCGCGTAGCGTCTTAAAGATAAAATGGCATTCGGAATCGCTTTGTGACGCCTTAATGGATGCCGGTCGGTGGAATAGACGCTCGCGGTTGCCCGTGTGCGTTTGAGACACAATGTAACCATCATTGAAAAATGCACATCGCCTTGATCACAAACAATTTTGTAAATTTCGCGACAATGACCGCTCTCTCCTTACGCACCGTATGGACTTGCTCCTATTTCAATTTAATAGTCGCGTTCGGACGAACGTGTTGTATATAGACATGGCAGCTGTGGCATGCTCGACGCGCGGTACGTGCCTAATGACCTCCGGTTAAAATTTGTCCATAGACACGTTGATTAATACCGTGCTCATGTGATATGAGGCAATACGAGTGTTTGCTTTCGCAATCTTCATTATACATCTGCAACGAAGCGAATGATAAATTCTTGTCTAATCTTTTTACCTAGTTTTTCAACAAACCTGTTGTTACTTCGCCGATCAAAAGATATTTTCCCGGTACGTGTGAACAGTAATAGACGCAAATATTAAGAGACAAATGTCTAACGATGCAATTTTAACAATAACTTTGTCATGGATATATCTGAATGTTTATGATATTTTATTTTATCCCACCGTACGTACGTCTGGCTACAGATTTGAAAGCATTTCTCGGTCATTCAAGCGAGAACTCTCAACCGGATTGCTCCGTCAGTATATTTTTATATGTGCCTGTATGTATTCGTCTCGTGCTCTAAAGGTCACATACGAGTCACGAAGCGCGATAAAGAAATATTAGCGAACCGCAAGTTTATCTTCATTTCATTCATGTCACACATGGTATCAAATACGGAACTGAGAAATTTATAAAAGTGGTACGCCCCGAATGTTTTTTTTTGGTAATATAACAAGAATTAATAAGCTTGATGAAAAGTTATTTATTTATTCATTAGTAATGCAACAGCATTACATAATTTTTATCATAGTACGAATAATGTTTTGGTATGTCTCAACTAAAGAGTATAAAAACAAATAATACACACATGTTTACATCAGTGCTTTTATATACAATATATGAGGTTATGAAAGTAACGAATAAAGCTAGGTTTAGGAACATAGAATAAAATAAGATGAAATTTAAAAAAAATATCTTAAATTTAATTACCTAATTTAAATTACACTAAATTTCTCCAAAAGCAAGTGATACTATTTATATGTGCGTATAGATCTGATTATCAGTGTGCATACTTATAGTGATTTAACTTAATGTGTTTAGTCTGGCAGAGGATCCCGCACAATTTACATTTTATATTGCGCTATAAAGTAAAAACGAATTGAATGCGATAAAATCAATAAAATAATTCTATTTAATTATCTGTACTTGAGCCGTGATAGCTCAGTGTCCGGGCGATCGCTTTTTATTCAATATAGTGGTGAAGGAGATCGTCGTGAGGAAACCTTTAAATTATTTCGAAATAATAACAAAAAAAATATTTCGAAGACATGTGAAATCCGCCAATCCGCAGTGAGGCCGGGTGATGGACTAACGCCTATGCCCTAACACCACCTGTACAGAGGAGGCTTTTTGCCCTGCAGTGGGACATGTATAGGCTGTTACTTCACTTTTACCTTGCATGTACTTTTTCCTTGGATAGAAAAATTACAAAAATCAGTAACCAGTGTAAATTATTTTATAATTAAGATGTTTCTGGTAACAAACAATATGCAATCCCCATTAGTTTTTCAGTCTAGACGACGTTGTTCGCAGTGTTTTAAATTGACTCACTCTTTCGTTTATACACTCAGATTCGCTTATTTGATATATGCGTTTTATAAAGTTTTCGGTTTATTGTTGTATAAGGTAGGTTTAAAAGTAATTTTAACTCACAAAGTCATTAACACCATTAATGACAATATAGCATAGTTTATGTGGTTCGTTGTTCTTTAATAACATTACTTTTAATGTAGATATCACAACAGTAATTTTTTTTAGATGACGACAAAGTGGTTAAAAAAAACTTAAGAAGAATCAATTGAAATCTAATCAATAGTTTTTTCGTGATGCACGTTATGATGAACCTCTTACATATTATTTATATAGATCCGTATTCAAGATCATAAATTAAGATTATTTTTTCAATGTATTACAAACCATGAAACGTGTGTAACTATTATACGGCTGTTATATATGCACAAAAGGAAAATAAGCCTTTTAGTAGAAGCTGCGCAAGTTAGTGAACATTTTTATGAAATAAAATATTGTAACGCTGGTGATTTATATAATAAAAAATAATCTGGAGAGTGGGTGAAAAGGGAAAGAAAGTAACGCAAGATTAGTGTTTGTCGTTCGTGTCTCGAGTGGATTTTCCGTTAGCTTGCACATTTTTACGGTGGCCGTAGGCGAATGGCGGCAATTTAACAGCGGGGCGAGGCGGTCCGCGACCGGTCCCCTACGTGATCTCCGGCTACGCGCGCAGACTCGATAATGACTCGCACCTTAGGACCACAACACACTGCATCACTCAACTCAGTGTAATGTGTCCCGGAGTCAAGAACGTGCAAATATATAGATACTATATACAGCGTGTCGTTACCATCGCGACAATAAATGAACACACGTCTAACGCTACTTGCCAATAATCATAAAAAACATTAACGTTAAACAAAATCCATGATTTAAAAAAATATTTTTCAAACCAACTAAGTAAAAAAGAAACAAAATTTGTAACATCCTATACTACTCGCGACACAGCATCGCATTACAAGACTTGCTTTGTGATCTTTACAAATGAACATTACGTTACAGTTTTATACGTAAGGGTAAAATTTAATAACTCTGTAAATATTGATATTTAAAGAATGTAAATGTTTAATACAATTTCAAAAAGTTATCCCCTATATGTGTGTTCATTTATTGTCGCAATTGTAAAGACACGCTGTATATATAAATATAACTATACGAATAATGGTCTTTTTTATGTGAGAAGGTGGCAAGAGAGCTGGCGGTTCAAGTGGCAACACTTCTAATAAAGTGAGCACTGGTCGGCCTCACTCGACAGACCAAACGCAGAACTGTATACTATATACTTCCACTTCACGCCGATCTTCTGTGAAGCCGTGACAACAATGACGACGTGGTGTCACGGGATATCTATGCTGTAAATATTATGTTCACCTCGATGATGGTCAATATGTTCGATATTTAGAAATACATCTTTGCCAATTACTATTTCGGAGCGTGATGGTTTCTAATGGTATCCCAATGGCGTTTTATCACCGTCACAACTTTACGGCTATGGCGATAATATTAGGGTATAATTTAAAAAAATAATAAATTAATATGTAATGATATAAAAATATTACTTTTGGACTATTATTTGAACTTTCGCTTTCTCTACTACTCTTGAACACGTTCGCTTAATAATTGCAAGTTCTGTTAACTGTTAACCAGCATTAATCAATAATAATTTATAAAAAATATAAAAATCTAGTCTCTTTTTACGGTACTAGTAAACACATAATTATTTCTAACGCATATTTTCTAACGTGGTGCGAGGCTATGGTTCACAGATCCTGTAATTAATTCTTGTATTTTTTTTGTCGATTAACATAGAACTCTGTAGATCTTGCATGTATCATTCTTATACTATTGAATCTTTATTTTACTAAAACAGCATACAAATCAAAGTATCAGACCAGTCAATTAAATCGATAGGGGTTAATTCTAGAAAGGAATAAAGAAAAAGTATATTTATTTGAACTAAAAAACTAATTTTGTTACAAAGAAAGAAAACAATTTTCAATGCTTAATATTAAGCTTTTAGTTACTCCCTACACCCGCATCCGCTTTTGAAACCGCTCGAGCGTGTGCTCGGCCTTAGAGCCCTCGCGGCGTTCTCGTCTCGGCAAGAACGAGGGCCGCCGCCATCGGTATGCGCCCGTTGATAGCGTCTCGAACAAGGAGGCAAGGCCGACGGAATTCGACTCTACGTGTGAGTCCGGCCTACGAAGATGGTGCGTACGTACTTACGTACCTGCTTACTTTATTACACGACTCTTGTACGCGTGCGGGTGATAGCGGGCAAGGGGAGCGGCTAGGGTTGTCACGCGGCATCCTCTATGTTTATTTTGTTATTGCGAATGATTTAGTTGGCGCCAGAGGTTTTTTTTTCTTAATTAAGCACACCAACCTTTGGTGCACATGTGAAATTCATAAATTTGATTTTCACGTGTTCATTTTGGTTTATAATTTCTATTTGCATTGTTGGATATTCGCGTTAATCCAAGGAATCGTATAGAATTATAGATGATAAATGAAACGAATACATTTGGTAAACATTTATCTGAATGAAGATTTGAAAATTTTATGAAATAAATTTTTTTTCTACAAATATTACAGGCGAAACAGGTATATATAGTAGATAGTCCCATAGCAATTATTAAATTTCACAATTCTCATTTTCCTGCCCTCATTCCAAGTGGGAATTGCACACACTAACACGGCGTCGTATACAGTGATTTAGCAATTGCGCCACCGAGTCTCACCTTAATCCACAGTAACTTGCTAAATCTGCTTATGTCCTTATACCTACCGCTGTCCTTATACATGTCGCCAAAAAATGCGCTCACTTATATGATTACTTTATTTATACAATATTAACATTTGACAGCCCTGAAGCATTTTATATATCTGAATACGTCATTTAACGGATCGTTTGACTAGCGATAAGTATCGCGCATCGGAGCGATGGATCCGTCACATTTGCATGATCTCTCATCGTCGTTCTTAATTTTATGCGGCCGCTGGATATAATCGAGTATGATTGGTATGCGAGCCGTTAAAACTGGACATTTTAATCGATTCCATTCTAAAATCTGTTTAGTTAAAAAAAGGCCTACATTATGTAATATGTTAAATCCGACGTTGTTATCCAATCGTAGATGTTGTGATGATTTCATTACGTTTGCTTGTTCATATCTTATATCCAATCACTGATTAAGCTCTTATATCAATTATATTATATTATTTTATCAA